CTTTCTCACAGTATTTAATCTTAATTCTATATTTCAAAATATTTTCAACGTCTTCCATCTCATAAAAGTTAGTTTTTCTTTTGAATGACGAAGAAAGAATTTTTTCTTAGTAAACAAACAGTATCAACGAATGATTCAAATTCAGTATATAATCAATATGCAACACAATTTAATGGTCAAACACCACTTTCACAAATAATTGCAAGTGGTTCATCACCAATCGTCAATTCATCATCATCATCATCATTTTTACTCGACACAATTTGTACAAAACGACGAAAACAATCAACAAATACTTCATCATCAAAACGCAGTATTCTACCAAAAAGTGCAACATCAGTTATGCGTAGTTGGCTATTTCAACATATAGTAAATGAAAAATAAAGTTTTTTTTTTTTTAAATAATTTTATTAATTTTGTATTGTCATATAAAGGCTCATCCGTATCCAAGTGAAGATGAAAAACGGGCTATATCAAATAAAACAAATTTATCATTATTACAAGTTAATAATTGGTTTATAAATGCACGTCGTCGTATATTACAACCAATGCTTGAAACATCAAATCCTAATTTAATAATAAATAAAAAGAAAAAACGATATGATACAACATTAGATGATAATCCTCATCAACATAGGCATAGTCGACAAATGTCATATATAAATCGTTATTGGCCATCGAATATAATTCAATTTGATATGCATAAAAAATAAAATTTTGAGATATTAAGGGTTAATTACATCTATCCTTTTGCTTGTGTTTTAATACATTGATCTTTTTTTTCTGTATAAATTTGAATCTGAAATGAAAATCTCATTTTATACGTTCTTTTTCTTTTATAAGTTGTGTATTGCATGATTTCTTTTCTATTATTCTGTTTAATACGATAAAATTTTGGGTGTTTTTTTTTTATTTGTTCGGATTAACGGTGCTATGAAGTAGAGTTCTTTTGTTTTTCTTATTTCAATAAAAATATACATTTTTTGCAATGCAAATTTAATGATCAAATTGAAATAATTTTTTGTTTATTAAATGATAAGAAATCCTTTCGAATTTCCTTCGTCAATGAACAAAAACTACGATGTCTTGCTATTACTTTTGTATATAAGAATTAAATAGATCAAGTTTTATATTGAAAATTTCAATGAAATGAACCTACTTGTCCTTCTATGTTTCATTCAATTAAGAAGATCCTATCGTATTTTAAAAATTGAATTTCCATAGAACAAGATATACATAGGTTATTTTTAATATAAACTGCTTGCTAAAATTTGTGGAATGTATAAGGTTCTTTTTTCATACGGTTACTACAACCTCTCATAAAAGCAGAATTGTTCATTCTTTATAGTGTCTGATTAAGCTATCGAGTAAGTACTGCTATGTATCGATCAGAGGCCAAAACTGGGAAGAAGTTTAGCTTCCCGTCTTAATATCAGAATGAGTATTGATTTGAACAATCTGCCTAATTTGAAATTGATATTTATATCGATTTTATCTTTTGTCATTGGTGTAGACTTTGTTTTTGTCAGTTCTTCATCTATTAACTACTTAACAAACTTTAGTTTTAGATCATTTTCAATATCCACTGTTGTGGTCGAAGTAACTTTCGACAGACATGCACTTCAAGCATAATAGCAGTATGCTTTCTGAGCTATTGTTACTAGTAGTAGTCATTTCAATTTTGGTTGAAGATATTATCGCTAGTTAAGAGTGCAACAAGGTGTATTGCAGGTTTTTAATAGACTGGCTTTGTAAAGTCAAACTCAACCATACGGTTTGGCGCCAATATAAAAAGATAGAAAATTTTCTGTCGATTTTAACGACACGTTCTCTTGTAAATTATTGGTAGGCATTTTTTTGTAATACCAAGGTTACTGACAACGAGAAAAATGTCAACTGCTCATCTGCAAAATCATGAGTATTACAAATCAAATTTTGCCAAATTAGATTGATCTCAAATTGTATTTTTCTTCCAGTAAGACATGTAAAATTTTTTAGCGCATCAAATGTTGTGTCTAGTTGAAGATTCTTAGTGTGGCTCTTGTTGAAAGCTACAGAATATCTTCAATACACCCTAGGCTCAATAGGCCTAGACATATACTTTGTATGTCTCTTTTAAGTAGTAAGGTTTTACACAAGAGTTCGGTTTGATACCTACCAAATAAATATACTTCTTTCTCTTTTCTTAGATTGTTTTATTAGTTTATAGAAAGCTATGTAACAAATAAAAACGGTATATAATTCTAGCAAAATGCTGAATACTTGATGTTTTCGCAGCATGCAGCGTTTTCGATATTACGAAGTAATAAAAAATGTTTATTGAAAAAAAGGAATGTTTAAATAAATTTTACATAAAATTCTCTATTTTAGCATATGAAGCAAACTTTTAAGTCGAGTCTAATTTTAGAAAGCAGTCTATGGATAGACATCGATTTCTCTGTTGCAGTCTTTACTTATTAATCTTCCGCAATAAACATAAATTCAATAGATACAATTCTCGATTCAATTAACGAAAAACTTTTATATTTGTATAAAATATTGAGTAGATGAGCTATTTCGCAGCGACTCTTATCGTAAGTCTTTATACATACGTTATTCGAATATATTGTCTATAAATAAATATTTATGTTGTGAAACTATCAGGAGGAAAGTTCGGGGATTTGAACTAAATCTCGTCTTGCCTAACTTCGCCCTAGGAAAAATGGTTCTGCCGCGATTGTTCACCCCGTTTCGGTCTCTGATGCGTAACGTTCAATAACATTAGTTGATTGACTGATACTTGATATTTCGAGATGTAGTGTTACATACTGAAGCTAAAAATAATCTTTCCGATCCATAGAAATAGATGCAACATTAGATCAGCTAAATTTATTAAAAATTCAGCTCACTCTTTTTGATACTGAAGAGGCGAAATTTTTTATTAGCGTTTTTGGTATTTTCCAAGTTTAGTATTGGAATCAAGATCAGAATTTTTGTTATATTGATATTCTCGTAGAGCTTGTTAAATTCTATTAAACCATATAACAATCGGTAGAAAACAGTGTTTTGTTTCCAATGTTATAAACAAATTATTTTTGCAAAAAATATAAGATGTAAAATGTTTAGTCATGATCAATATAAAAACCATAACTTTTCATGATGGCGATGCAATTCGAACTGTTTTCTTTTCAGATTATAACTTTAATCTTCCTCTAAAAAGCTGTGAATTTCAGTTTTCTATCTCTAAAACTCCCTTTAATCGTTTTACAAAAAATCAAAAGCTAAAAATATTAAAGAAAGTATACAAAAATAAGAATAACAAAATCGAAAATTTGTTAATAGAAACAATAAATCCACGATACCCTTTATTATTTCTAGTTGATATCTACTCAAGTTTCATTACACGATTCATATTATAAACTTTGTTGAAAGATTTACTTTGAAATTGATTAAAATAATATATTCTTTCAACCAAAATAAGTATACAAGATTTTACTTTTCAAAAGTAAAAAAAAAGAAAACAATTCAAGTTAATTCATTTATTCTTTATTACTGATATTTATATCACAAAATATGTAATATCAAAGCCATCAATTTATATTAAAAAACAATTCTTTTCTCATGAAAATAAACATCACAGTTTTGTTCTCATTCGAACTTTTTTTTATCTCAGTAATGAACAAGAATAAGAAAAATAAGAATTACTAATTAGAAGTTTTTGTTTTTAATGATTCAGTAGGCAATGGTAATTGTTCACCATGTCGATTTTCAACAAAACGAAAATAACAAGCTGGTATGAAACCATTTTCATTACCCGGACAAAGTATAACATTATTATTTGATACAAAGAATTTAAAACCATCTAAAAAAAAAATAAATAATCCATTAAGAAAAGAAAAATCAAATTCAACTTTTTCATCGAACCTTTCAATGCTTTTTTCATATCAATATAAATATATAATTCAGCATTTGATCGCATTCCTTTCAACAGAAATAAGATCTTCTTTAAAATAAAGTTAAATTAGTTTTACATACCACTAATAACACCTGATTGTTTAGGTAATCCAGGAGCAAAATGAATATATGTTCGATTCATTTTTGATAATCCCTTTAAAAAAAGAAAAGAAACACGAATAATAACAAAATCAGAAAAAAAAAATTTTTTTTTCTAGTATACTTTATCTCTAATGGACGGCCAATGTCTCATATAAGTTCCATGTAATACAGTTCGATATTCATTTGGATCTGTTATTTCTCTCATATCAATAACAGCTTCTTCTAATGAATGACCTTGATGTGCACGAATCATTTCTTTACCTGTAACTTCATCTATTTTCAGACCAAAACGTTTTTTTTCATTTACTGCAACACATTGATGAATATCATCGATTGTATATTTATTAACAAATGATCGATGTTTAAGTACATCATCAACAAATACATAACCGTCAGATTGAAATTGTAAACCTTCTTTTATAACAGCATGACGAAGAAGCCAAGATAAAGATCGTGACAATTGAATTAATTTTCCATTAGAATTACCAGATGCACCTCGATCCTATTATAAAACCCAAAAAAAACAAAATATATTAATTAATTTATTAATTAAACTCACACTACGAAAATGTTGAAAATTTCTTGCTGCCATATATCTAAAATAAGATGAGTTATTGGTATGGTTTTTCCCATGCACAATCTAGTTTTATACTCAAACACAAAAAATTATATTAGTCAGACTGAAGCAATCGTGACCCATTGTATTGCACAATATTTTGATAAAGGTAAGAAAGAATGTTGGCTTTTTTTCTTAACACAGACAGGTATCGCATTACTCATGATACAAAATTAAATTAATTTTAATTAATTATGGTAAGGTAGGGTCCGTCTTACAAGCCTTTTTATCAGCTGATGTTATTTTCATTACAACATTGCATCATACTAAATTTTTTTTTCGATTACGGATGATTTTATTTACAGCCTATGCTTACCTAAAAGTGATCATGCATGACGAAAAATAAATATTAAACATTTATGAATATCTTAACAGCAATTATGAAATATTTTGTTCTCTTTCATCAAGCTTATAATAATAGAAATCTTAGTAATATGATTTCCGTTATCAATTTTATTATTTAATTTGAAGTTTAAGGATACTCCCATTTTCTCGCTCGAAATTTTTATTTTTTTTTATTTTGGATTTTTTATGGCCATTGTATAGTTTCAAGTGGTATCTATCTATTGAGTATATTTTGGAATTCAACCATTGTCTTTAAAGGTTAAAAAATTCGAGAAGAAACCAAATTTACGCAACGAAAATAGATAAAATCGTATATTATTTTTGCGTTTTTCTCAAAATCAAATTTTTAAGAGAAAAAGTGCTGTGTTTCTCTGACATGGTAAGAGGGATCGAGCTGAAACATTTTTCAGATATTCTAGTCATTATTTAGGGGTGGGGAGGAGTATTTTTTTTCTTATTAAGAACTGTTGCTCTGCTGGTTTTTGACAGTTTTCACAAAAATTTCCTATAGTAATGAAAACAAACGTTTTTTAGGATAGGCTCGATATTTTGACTTATTTAAATTGAAATGACAAAAGACAAAAAGAAACTAAAATAACCTACCTGAAACATTGTCTAGTACTTGTAAAAAAATTTTCAGCTCAATCAAACATACCGTCTTGGAGAAACGGGAGCAAAAGCAAGGAGCCATCTTTCGCTATTGTGATCCTATTATCTCATAGAAGACAGCATCCGGCAATTTTGAGCCTATGACAACTTTTTCTGTACTCATCAAGATCTATCTGTCCTGATCATTTTAAATTTTTCTGATGAGGCGTTCTCAAGAAACCTCGGAAAGGAAGTTGGTACTCTTAAAGAAAATAGTTAAGTATATTAACTTCATATTTTAGTAATAAACTATTATAGAAACAAGTTTCTAGAAAAAAGTTCGACATGCGTATTTTGAACCATGAATATAAGCTGAACTTAAACTTAATTTACCCAAACGTCGTTTATAAATAATTTGTTTCGAAATACCTAACTGATCTTCTAACTCAATAGCAATTTGTTGTGTATCATCAAGTGAATTATTATCAATAATAATAATTTTATGTAGTGTATCATTGAAATATTCTTCAATTAGAGTAAAAACGACTGGTGAATGTTCTCGTTCATTATAAGTTTGAAGAAGAGTGAAATAAAAAGTGATTTGGAAATTTCATTTATTATTTTTATTTTTTTTAATTGAAATCTAAAGATTGGAATGAAGTTTTCTTTGTATAAGTTTTTAAATTTATTTCAAACAAATTGCCAATGATTAAATTACAAGGATACAAAAGAAAACATTTTGGTTTTAGTAGTCTAGCTTAACGATTCATCATAATATATATTATATCTTGGTTCTTTCTTTCCCTCCGGATCATCAATCATATTTTTTTTTGTTTTATACATACACACTTACACATAATAAAGAATAAGTACATTGATAGACTCATACAAACGATTCAGAATTACATAAAAAAATAGATTCGTCCAGAAATCTCATACGGTCATTAACACATCTTGTGTACAAAGAGCTGCAAGTGCAATGCTATATATTATCTTAGTAAAGACTGAATCATTACTCTCTCTATCCTTACAGTACTATTGCATATTCATGAAATCCAAAAATTTAATCAGTTTGCTCACTTTCGGGATAGATGGTTTAGAACTTTGAAAGAATGAACTGATTTTTTTCCGAAGAGCTTCGTTCTTCCAATTCCTACTGACAATAAAATACTCAATACTATCTTCATTGTCCCACTTTGTCTTTTTTTCTTTAGCATGAAAACTGAACGAATACATATGATAATAATTTGTATTGTTTAAGATTTTATCTTACAGAACTTTTATCTACAATATACAGTAATATAGTTGTTGAATAAAGTCTAATCAGAATGATGAGCATCTGTGGAAAAAAAAGAATGTTCATTGTTTTTTTTCTTAGATTTTTCAACTGAGATTTTATACAAAAAGAGAACACAGAAAAAAATGTTGAAATTAATATGAAATAAAGATAAGATATTAAAATAAATGATTAGAATAATGTACAACATTGATTTTGCTTTTTTACCTAAAAAAACAAATAAAAGTTAATATAACTGAGTAAGAAATATATTTGTAATTACCGTTCTATAAAATGTTCTTGCCTCAATGTTTAAATCATTTGATCGTTCAACTAAATCATCAATTTTTTCACCACGTTCAAGTACATCTTTCAATACTTTTGTCTACAAATAGAAAAGAAAAACAAAACATGTCTTATTGAAATGTTTTTAATAAGAAACTTACAAGAATATTTTGTGTATCATCAAGATCTTTTTGAAGACGCATTAATGGATCAGCTTCTTGTGGATTCTAAATTCGAAATTAATTAAACAATTGTTTATTTTCATATTTATATATAAATGTAACCTGATATTTTCTTAAGGTTTTACTCAGTGATGCCATTTTACCTGTTCTAATATAAAAGAAATCTGTGCACATGAATTTTTTTTTAAGAAGAAATCTAACTTACTGTTCACCCATACGTGCCCATTCAGACCGTGGATATTCAATAGTAAATTCATCCATAACCTTATATTAAAAATAAAACGTACAATAAAATATGAAAGAAAATATAAATGAAAAATGAATATTCACTTTACTAAGAAGGGCATGTACAACTCGTTGTGGATATTCACTATCAGAAATAATAACTGATGCTAAATCATCTTGACGAACATAAACATGAACCATAGCTAAAAAAGAAAACATTTTTAAATAGAAAAAAAGATTGATTTTTTTTTCTTTTTACCATTAACATTTTGATCAGCTGCAACTGACTGTTTTATACCTAAAGCTGTACGTTCGGTAACTGTTCGTGCTGAGAAAACAAGTATTGATTGCACACTAAAAAGAAAAAAGCATAACGTTGTATGAAACTAAATTATATTGAAGTAAGTCTTACCTACGACGTTCGAAATAACCAAAAGTTTCAAGATTAAATTCATTTTGAAGTATTTTCGCTTTTTTATCACCTTCCTTATGTAAAACAAATATTGCCAATAGTTTCATTGTTTAGATGTGATTCTTGTTTTTTTTTGTTACGGAACCCTTCAATAAGAATGATAAAATCTAAACAAAATTATTAAAAATTAAGAATAATATAGATTAAGTATGAAGAACAACACATGTAAATATGTTAGTATTCGAAGAATTTTCTTTAATATTATTGCGGACGTCAACGAAAGCTATTGTTATGACTCAACTATGGATAATGTGACAGATAGAAGCCAATGCAATATTGGTGAAGAAAAACAAAAAGATATTGCTTCATAACAATAAATGGGCAGATATTTTAGATAGTGATAAATATTTTAATTATTGACTGTTGCTGCTCATATCTATGTTGTAGTTACACATGCATGAATTATTGAAAACTGATGTTACTTACACTTGAGTCATCGGTTTTATATAATAAGAGATAAGAAATAAATTGTAAATTTTGTTAGTTTTGTGTATGGAAGTTCAGTTTTGTTTAGTAACAGGAGCTTCATAGCTAAATGTAGAAGAAGAAAGTAAGAAGAACAAGTGAACAACCCAAGAGTACACAGCACAAAGAAGAACATATTTTATGATAACAACAATAGGGGAAGATCCCTAACATATATAACAAGCAATGACAAATCCATATATGCATTGACAAGAGAACAGGAAAAAACAATGCATCATGTGTTATAGTTCGTACAGAAAAACTCAGTATGTGATGCAATCAGGCATGTCGGACAAATCCTGAACATGAATCATGTTGAAGAAACCCCTAAGTCATCCTCTGCGTCATTGATACGCGCACGTCACGCTAGTGCGGATTAGTACGCATGATGTCACTAATGACGTGCGCGTACTGTAGCGTACCGGTATGTAATCTTTAGTATGCATGACGTGATACTACTTCCAGTAAAGAGACCGTCTGTTCACATAAATGGTACGAACAAAGGCGTGCGTATAAATAATAGCAGATGCTCTTTCTGGATAAAAAAAAATACGAAGAAATTAATTTTTTTCATACGAATATGTTTTTACAATATATATTAAAATATTAGTTACTAGCTGAAGTGCCCGACGTTGCTCGGGAAAGTTCAATCTTAATATATGCACGAAAAATACGCATTAGACTCGACAACATGTGGAAAATCCTGACCAGTGGGGAGCCCCGCTGGGAAACCTGTTCGTAGACAGCCTAACAAAACAAATCCCCTTTGCTTGAAGCAAGGCATGGNTCTGGACTCTTCCGAAAGATTTCGATCTGCTTCCCTGCGCTTTTCAGCAACAACTGACCGGAAAACTTCGGACCGGAAGACTCCTTTCAATATTTCTACGATTTTCCAGGTTTTTCTGCAGGATACAGTGACTTTTCCAATATTTCGTGCCGATTTCTGTGGTATCCGTCCATCGAAATGATTGATTCGAAGTCTACTGATGATTATCGCAATAAAAGATTTTTGATAAAACAAGATTGGTTTATAAAAATCGATTTAAATCTTATGATATTCGTTTTTGATATATATAAAGATCTGCGTGATCCAGGTTTTTTAGTCACGGTCACGAGCTACCTAGTCATGATCATGGTCATGGCCACGGAAATTTTTCAAAACTTAGTCACGGTCACGGTCACGTGTGAGCGTGACCGTAACCATTTTGCAGACCTCTACTCTTCACGTATAACCATTCAGTTAAAATATGAGATGATATCTTTGTTGAAGCGCAAGCTACTTACTTACTAAAATATGAAGTTTTTAAGTTGAATAGAAAATTTAAAAAACTGTTGATCATGTATCGTACTTTTCTTCATTGAAGATTTTCATTGATCATTGAAATTGATGAATTAAAATTAGTCATTAGCGAAACAACTATGGATATTTTATTCATCAACAATACCTACCATCTGTTCTAAATTACAATTAATCTGGTTCTACATTCAATCAGTCTCTTTTATTTATTTAGTTTTATTTGTTCACTTTTGATTATCATTATCTAAGATAATAATTTATTGCGATAAGATTTAGATGTCTTGTACATAATTAGCGACGATATATTGCATGTGAGGATGAGTGTCTCGGTCTCCTCTTCAACTACACCCACCACCCACACTCAGAACCTAAAAAATGTTAGATATTTTTATATTTTTCATTAATAATTTTTTCTGTATTTTTTTTTACATAAGAAATCTTGTCTTGATTCTACCATGGATCCATTTTTTCTTGATTGACTCAAAAAATTAACTGCAATCTGGATTTAGCCAAGTTATTAGATACAATTTGTAATCACTAAGTAATTGATTTTTATCTATCATCAAAACATAATCGATTAAAATTCGATATTTGTTGTCGAAAAAATAAAGTTCTACGTTTTCTATCAAATAGTAATGCTCGAACAGAACGATATTAAAATAGCTGACAAATTCAGCTGACACCTTCCAAATGGCGAACAATCAATGTTCACATGAAAATAAAACAAAAAGAGAGATCGAATTTCATCCAAAATTTTTAAACAAGTGATTTTTTTTCTTATAGGTTCTATCTAATATTTGAAAGTGTTTATTGTTAAGACTGCATAACTGAAGAAAGAAACATGTTCTAATGAGTTAGCACATGGAATTATCTCGACAGATTTTTGAAGAAACAAAGAGAATTGTAAACATGTTTTATCATCAAATTCATTTATTCGCATTGATCATTTTGAAGATTTAAAAATACCTTGCCAATGAACTTGATCGCGTTAGTAAAATTTCTATCTGTTTACATTTTATTATCACAGATAAACTAATTATTAATTGATAGTATGGTCATCAGATTAATTTTATTCATAATTGATTTTGCGATTTGTATATAATATTACACAGCGACAATTAACAAAAAAAAACCTATCCGAATTTATCCCAATGATTTAATCGATATAAATAATATGTAATATTTCTATTGGCTAAACTAATTATAAATAAATTTTTTAATCAACAGATATTTGAAAAATAATTTGTTAAAGAGAGAAAATACAAGGAATTAACAAATGTATTGATTCATTTGTTTGAATGGCAATGGAGGACAAGAAAATAAAAAGATCCAGAAGACTAAGTGTTAATCAATTATCATGGTTGAAACATAAGCAACAATAAAATATGAATTTATTTTATCCACTGTAAATTGACTAATCCAAAATTATTTACACATGTCCAGCCCTGATTAAAAGTAGCCATTCCCCATGAAGTATTACTATTCTTTATGATATTTAACTGATACACTGAATGTATGCCTTCGACAATAAACCCCGATCACAAGCACTAATCCGTCCTCCATCGGTTCCTATGTACTAGAATTTTGATTTACGTATCTTATGTCCCTTCTAAAAGAAGATTAAATAGGTTTTGTTTGTCATTTTCCTATTCCGTAAACTACAACTGCTTTTTCTAGCGCTAAAGGCAGTCCTATGTCTACTGTAATATCATCAAAGCGCATAATACATTATTAAGATTTTAGTAATTAGTACACTCTGTGATAGTGAATCAATGTCGTAGTGTTGAATCGACTTGATATAGTGCTGTAGCTCTAAAAAATTTAAAACAGAGTTGTCGTCTCATGGAAACTTTCTTTTGAAATGTTTAAAACAATGGATCAATATCATAATGAAAAAGATCCATGTTACTAAAAAAACGGATATGATTTAAGTGATCAGTAAAATAGATTAAATGATTAGCAAGCTAAATAATTATAATGCCAGTATACTGAATGATTTACCAGTAAAATAATTGAGTTATCAGTAAATTGAATGAGTGATCAGTATATTACTTTAATGATCAGTTTTTAATTAATTTCATTTGTTAATAAATTTAAAAATCAGTAAATAAAATTGACTAACAGCTGATTAAATCAAAGAGTAAGTATAGAAATTGAAATGTGTTATAAAATGATTCATTTATGATTTTTCTTCTTCATTCCTTTTTTTTTACTATAACGCGTAAATGACAAGTACAACATATATATATATATATAATAGAATCAAAGTTGAGGTACGTTCAGTATCGCATTGGCTCAGGTGAATCTCGAATCCGAGATTGGACGCGTCTGATACCGGATCAGGCGGAGAATATGAGTTATAACTTGAATTAGTATATAGATCAAAGTCAGATTCGAACTCTTAACGATGAACTCTGATCAAGCCATAGTATTTCAGGTAATACAATCATCAATGGTCGGACTAAATGAAGATTTGAACAGTTATAGACAGTTTTTTATTGAAGCAGTTCTTATGTAAAGAACTGTTCATAACTTCACGGATCCAAACGTGATTGATCAAATGATGATTACATCAAGTAACCTGTCATTGCTTGATCATATTTCATCAGTAAGTATCCGTATTGACGTCGTTCTAAAAACTATTTAATTCACGTTTTAACGCATACTTTCCATTTGATCTGACCATGGGCGCAGGCATAATAGAAGTTTGGATGCTAACTTATTTATCCTTTTCTTCTTTCCATTCCGTCATCTTTAGCTCAGTATGAACAAGTAAAAAAGATGGAAGTATGGTGTATGGCAAAGTTGACCAATATTTGAGTAATTTATATTGAGCAACTCGTACGACTTCCATATTGAAATAGTGCAAACCAGCAGCAGCAGCAAAAACAGTGCCGATCGGTGAGCAAGGAAAATGAAGCAGACCAGCAACACCAAACCTGATTTGCTAGTGCAATAATTTCATTTTCATTTTCTTTCTTATTTATTCATTCTTTGAATATATTATTTACTCTGAGTTTTTTGTTTGAATTTATTTTTCTTATCCTGAGTTAAACATTTTACTGGTAAAACTTATTTTTCTGCTGATAACATCTGTATTTTTTACTGATATAAATTGTATTTTTTTACTGCTAAGTAATATAAAAAACTGATCATTTTCTTATTATTTACTGGTAATTTAGGTACTAATCATTTAATCTTTATACTGATCATTTTATCTATTTTACTGGTCAAATATTTTGTTGCCAAAAAAAACTAGCATTAACTCTTCAACGAATATGCTTAATGAGAAGCGCATGTTTTGGCGCTTGCAATCAGAGTTTATTGTTACTGCATGCATCCTAAATATCAGCTCAATATTATAAACAGTATAGTAGAACTTCTTGGAGAGCTGCTACTTTTGACTGGGAGTCTGTATACATGCATGTGGTTTCATGAGCTTTCGAAGAGCAAAAAAGCCAAGAATAGAATCATTCTAATTAATTTTTATTGTTTGTCTTTGTACAAAATCACTCGGTGAATAGTAAAACATGATATCTGCATATTTTTTTTCGCTCTCTTCAAATTATATCTAATATTCCTATATGTAATTATTTATTATTAATCAATTAGGACAAACCTATTGGCATGATAAATCTTAAATGCAACTGAAAATCATCAAATATAAAAAGAATGATTAAATCGACTTGGTCTGTTCATTTCTATTAATCAATAAATATTTTATTTTGTTAAATTTCTTTGAGTTTTTCATTGATAATTTTCTCTGAATAATCCCACCATTCGCGAGCTAATTTATCATCTTTTGCATATTTATGAGATACAGGCGTTGGTTGACAATCAGCATGATATTCACCTGGTCTAGCTTTATTCGATAATGCACAGTAAAGAATTGTTTGTACACCTTCTAATGGTGTTTTAAAGATTACATATCTTATTGGTTTGACTAATTTGCGCATAAAATCATTCAAACGTAAATGTCGATCTAATGGTGTATTAACAGTTCCAGGATGTAATGAATAAGCACGAATATTATGCGACATTGAATAACGTCGTTGAAGTTCACGTGTAAATAAAATATTTGCTGTTTTACTTAATGAATAAGCAGACATTGGATGATATGTGTTTGGATTACACATTTGTTCATAATGCGATGCATCACAAGGTACGGGCCACATAAAATGAGCAGCTGAAGAAACATTAATAATGCGTGATGAATGAAGACGAGGTAAAAGAAGTTGAGTAAAATAAAAATGACCAAAATGATTTGTACCCATTTGTAATTCAAAACCATTTTGAGTTTTTGCATAAGGGCATGCCATAACACCGGCATTATTAATTAATGCTGTAATTTTTGTATTTCTAATTAAGAATATATAATAAAAAAAAAATAAAAACTATTTAATGAAAGAAAAATAAAAGAAAATTTACTCATTTTTATTTTTCATAAATTCTTCCACACATGTTTTTATTGATTGTAAATCAGCTAAATCAAGCGGATAACCAATAACATTATTTGGCAATTGACTAAATCTTTTTACATCATTAATAGCATTAGTTAGATTTTTAAGACGAGCAAAAAGTATAACTCGAGCACCACGTTTTACTAATTCAATTGCTGTTTCTTTACCGATACCACCAGCAGCACCAGTAATTAAAAATGTTTGTCCATCTAGTTTAGCTGTATGAATATCTGAATATTGTCCACCACGAGCAAACCATCGCATAATTACAATAACAGAAATAAAGTAGATTATAATATATATTAATCTCGAAGATATCCATGTCCAAATACAAGTTGGAATAAAAATAGAGTTAGCCGAAAGAATTAAAATAATAATTGAAGAAACCAAAGTTAACAACGCTTTTGCTTCTGGTTGACGAAGAAGAAACAACAACATGTTATGAAATAAGTATAAATTTATTCCACTAACTGTTCATAACTGTCATATCATATAATCAGATCAGATCAGGTATTGTTTCGATAATGATTGGAGAGAATAGACAAACTGAAAGTAAGTTTTATTTTAAATTTTTTAAAAGCGGCATCTTTAGACATAAGAAATATGTCACTATTTGCGTCTAGTAATACTTAGTTTCTTTTCAATTTATAATACATAAGAATAATAATAAAAAAAGAACTCAATAAACACTAATTATCAGTTGATTATCCTTACATCATTGTTATAATATACTCTCATAATCACTCGATAGTATTGATAGCGTTAGATAACATTTGTTGCATTGGATAAAATAAAAACTTTCAAGACAAAAAATATTATCTAGTAGGAAAAAAGTAACCATAACTCATTGTTCACGTAGAAGCATTGAAATATCATATAAATAATTCTAGCCTTAATTAAATAAAACTAGGAAATACCAATGTTATTTATAAAGAATAATACGTATAAAATTCTCATTAGTCATTTGACATTGACTCATTCTTGTTCAATAAAATTACTCTTTTGTAATTAAGTATAGGAAAAAAGCAATAAAATGGAAGATTATTTTCCAAAAAAACGAGCATTAATTTAAATAATAATTAAATCAGTTCTAGTAAGGCAAAGTTAATATGTGTCACAATTGATATAAGAATTCAGTTGAATTTGGAATGTACGAATTAGTTTCAAAAAAAATTCTCTTAGAAAAAAACTTGATAATCAGAATAAACCTTTATAAACAACATGAACTGATTGATCTAGACAAAAGTATCAAAATACAATCACATTAAACGTCATAAATAAAAAATTTTAATTTTTTTCGTTGGAATTTTGTCTTTTATTATCTTATAATAAAATTTATCAAGAATGATTATGCATCATATATCATCAATTGTAGTATTTAAACTACAAATTTAACTTTCAATTTCATTAGTACTTCCAACCATTAATTATTCTTTAATATCATAATTATAAAATAAGCATATCATTGCAATTCACTGTTTTTCTAAAAATCGCCCACACCAACTTCCTACTTGTTTGAATCAATACTTTAAAAAAAACAAATATTTTTCAAAAACTTTCATCAATCATTAAGTAGTATCCGCATGTTCCAGAAATAAATAGAAATATTATTGAAATATATATTCCATTGAGCACAACAATTTAGTGAACTTATTATTGTTTATATATAGAATAACAATCTAAACATATCTCTATTATTACATAAACTTCAAAATATAATCAAATCATAGTAAGAATAAAAAAATCTTTTATTACAGAATAACAAGACATTATTCAAATCTCAACTAATTTGACTATGACATCTTTTATATTTTAGTTAATATTATTTGTCGAACTTGCTAATACAATTATTACATGATTAAATATAGATCTAATATTATGTATCTCGTTACTCATTGCTGTTGATATGTTATGATAACTGCAAATAATATTTTATTATAATGAAGAAAGAAAACATAATGTGTAATGTATCTGTTTTTTGTTAAATCAGCAATTTGTTGACATCTTATCATCGTTGCTTGAACGTGTGCTTATTTTATCATAATAATAGAAATGTTTTCTTCAAAGAAACACATTCTTTTCAAGTGTAAAACATGAAAGCTAGGAATGACCAAATGCACACATATATCTTTTTTTTATAAATATTGTTTTCAGTGAAATAATAAACAAGTCACGTTCATCGACACTTGACTCACTTGATCCTAGACTGATGGAGTAGTGATATGCATATAAATGCATCTAGGTATAAATATGCATTAAGTAAAATATCAAATAAATACAAAAGGCGATTTGACCTATGGCATTGCTTTGTTTTACAACAGTAATTTTGAATATGTTACACTTGTCTAATGAAGTTCAGTTTATATATACGATGTTATTGGTTTTTTAATAGAAATTTTGTCAAGTTTTTTATCGTTACANTGTACAATCAATGAAGGATTTGTGCTTCTCTTCTCTCTGATCGTTCACTCGCTCTGCATCAGTGAGAATTTTCTATGTTTTCTTTCTCTCTCTAATCGTTCGTTTATTCGCCCTTTTGTAACTTTTTGTCTTGTTAGACCCCATGCTATGCTAAAGCAAGCTTGACCTTCATTTGCTCATATGTAAAGGTAAATAAGAAATATAAAGGTAAGCAAAAGTCTTCCGTTTAGTTTTGTTAATAGAAAAATGAATACCGGAGATTAGTCATTAAGTAAAATAAAAAAAACAATAAGAGGCCTTTTTTTTTTCTGCTACACAATACATTAAGATATATAATAAAATGGAGGTGTCTTTTTTTTGACGAATAGAAAACAGAAAAGTGTTGATGTTTTGACTTGACAAGTTAATTTTTCATCATTATAGTCTTTCTCATTTGTCTTATGTCTATTCCATGTTTTGATATAACTATCTTTATGTTTGTGTTGAGTGAGGAGAATATTTGAAGTTTATCTTTCGTTTCATCTTCTCTTCTCTTGAAGACAGATCGTACTCCTACTAGCAGATATACTTTATAACATTAACATCTTCAGAATGAGTTCGATTCATTTGTTATTTGAAGGAGTAGTATATTATTGAATTATTGATTACATCTTATGAAGAGATATGTATCAATATTCAAAAATTGTGAGAATCAAATGTTGAAAGAATAATTGTCAATTATTCTTACTAAAGTTAATCGGATATTGATGTTGTCTGAGCTTTATTTGCTATGTATGTGTGTGCAAAGCGTGATGCAGACAGCAACAGTCTCTTCAGCCGTTCACAAATATAACAATAACTATAGGTCTATATTCGTGTTATTTGTTATTGATAAGAATTTGTCTTTCTAGATAATGTATTTAAAATTTCTATTGATTACATTTATTGTTCATTCATCATGTTTAAATCTTCTTGATATATGTCAATCAGGTATACGTGATGATGGTATTAATTATGTACATTGTGCAAGAAAATCTTTAACTGAAATTCCACGTTTTTCATCAAATCGTTTATTTAATTTAGCATTTGATGAACTTATTTTATCCGATAATTTAATAACACATATACATGCAAATGTATTTAATGGTTTACGTATAAAACGTCTTATTATGTCAGGTAATCATATAAAATCTATAGATGAAAGTGCATTTCGTGAATTAGAAAATTATCTTGAAGAAATAATATTAGAATTTGATTCAACTATTGTTGATAAAATACCACAAGCAATACAAACAAATTTAATTAATATCAAAAGTTTAACATTAATTGGTTTAAATTTACGTATATTATCATCAAATATATTTAGTCAAATGAAAAAATTAGAGAGTTTAACATTAAAATCATGTAATATACAATTTATTGAAATAAATGCATTTAATTCAATCGAAAAACATTTACGTTATTTATATCTTGATTATAATAAATTAAATGAAAAAATTTTTATTGAAATAAGTCATTTAACTTTACTTGAAAAATTATCATTATCACATAATTATATACAAGAATTTGATATTAAATTATTAAATCGTAATTTACAATATTTAGATTTATCATATAATTATTTAAAAAAATTATTATTAATTAATATGAATAATTTACAAATATTAAATTTACAAAATAATTTATTAACATCAGAAAATATTTATGGTTCAATACCAAAACAATTAAAAGAATTAACACTTGATTTTAATTCTATTAATATTATAAATAAAAATTTTATTACAGAAAATAATTCATTAGAAATTTTATCTTTACAAAGTAATGAATTTTTATTAACAAAGTCGAATGTATTTCAACATTTGAATAAACTTTAAAAACTAAATTTAGCAAGAAATAATATTCAAATTATACCAAAAGGTAAATATTTTATTTATTCATATGATCAAAGACGAAATAGACTAATAAATAATTGTCATAGATATTGAATCTTGTAGAACTCATATATACTTTAGAAGAAAAAAGTGAACGTAAGTTTTAAGTCACAGTTGTGTGGCGTTTTCCTCCCCATTATTAGACTTTAGGAATCGAGATTAAAGGCGCTGAACAACATTAATAACAATGCTTAGAAGGTTCTAACTGTTACATGATCAACACAACAGTATGAATTAATTAAGTTCTAACTTTCGGGAGTAATCAACATCAACATCAACGTTTCTAAGTTCATCGAGATAAGTAATAAATCGTTAATATTTGCTGTAAATATAACGAATGTGTACAATAGGCTTTTTTTCACTAAATCAATGATTAGACGAATAATAATAAATTATGAAAATGCAAAACAACGGACAAATAGCAACAAGACACATAAAAGAAGGAAAAAAAAACTTCTGTTCAAAATGTAGAAATAAAAAAGATATAGCATGGACTGTCAAATGAGTATTGTTGGACAAGAACTATCGTCTTTTAGAGATTTTAAACTTTGCATATTTTATATTAGAACACTGAATCTAAAGGAGACATGTGAATTTCACTTTTCAGTTTCAACGGGCCTTCACTAACAAGCTTTTTCTATGTTATCCATTTAAAGAATAAGCAATCATTGAAGACTGATTAACAGAAATAAACGTTATATTATTTATGTTTCACTAATTATCAGAAGCAGAAATCAGTAATGCATATCGCATGAGTAGTATGATATCATGAACAGACATTCTACATTTCTGTTTCTTTGCATGATGAATTTCATTGTACTGCTTAAGCGTAAGAAGCCATATAAATGCAAGGGGGACCATAATATTTCAGGAAAGAACAAGAAAGAGATCTAACTGTTGATTTCAAGTACGTGCCATTATGACTAAAGCAAGCGATATGCAGGGGCGAAGTACTAGAGATGACTGTGCACCTCTCTTGGTCTAAAAACATCTCGAGGGAATACGGATAACTTACATATATTGTCAGTAGAAATAGATTAATACATATTGCCGATGTGATTGAGTTTTATTACATTAATATTCGGAAT